TGCTGTCTCCCACTAGACTTTAAGCTCCTTGTGGGCAGGGATGGGTTTTTACCTTTCTTGTATCCCCAGTGCTTACTCAGCACAGTGCCTGGCATACAGTAAGCACTTAACAGATGTTGACTTGAATTGGGAGGAGGAATTTAGTTTGTTCAGACTATCTACAGAGAACAAGCCTGCAGCAATGAGCAGCACGTTAAAAGCTCAACATAAAGAAAACCTTCCCAACAAAGCCTCTAGAGACAGACTAGGAGACCTGTCAGAGCCTCTGAAACCTTCAAGATGTTATAGAAATAGGAAATAGAAGGATATTCGCATTAGGTACTGAGCTGCCCACTGTTGGGGCTATGCAAGCAAAGGCTGGACGGCCAAGTGCCAGGGAGGCCCAGGAGCGAAGCTGGCTGAGCTCTCCCCTGGAATCACTGCTTTCCAAGCCAGGAGCCTGCGGATTCTTTTTCTAAGTTTAGAATTTTTCTCATCCCTAGAAACGAGTCATGATCCGAAAACCCCAGGCCTGTCCATGAATTGGATCGTGACCGCTACTCCCCCCACCCTGCCCCCACCACTCTCCAGGTCTCCTAGGGCTCCATGGCAAAGGAGAAGGCTCCCTGAGGAGCGGACAGTAGGGGCTGGGCGGGAAGGCTGGTCTTGGGTTCCCATTGCAAACGAGCCTTTCTGGGAGGGGGCGCTTATTTAAAAATGTCCAAATGTCAATAAAAGGGTTCTGTGGCTTTTTTGGGCAGCTGCACAGATCAAGCAGGGAATGTCAGGGCAGGAGGGCCCTCAGGACAAGCAATGTTGGCCCTGGGAGGAATCTTGGAACACAGAAAGTCAGAGCCAGAGGGAAAATGCATAGAATATTTCAGAGCTCAGGTTAGGCAAACAAGGAGGACTTTCTGAATCATCTAGTTTAAACCCTTAATTTTACAGATGAGGAGACCGAGGCACAAACCCCCAAAGCTCGATAGCAGCAGAATCTCCACAAAAGCCTAGGCTCCTCGCCTCCCCTTTGCCCAGCCATAAGACCCCCAATCTCCTGCTGGATTGTGGAAGATCAAAGCCATTAATAAACACAAATCAATGGGGCAGCTAGGTGGCACAGTGGAGAGAGCACCGGCCCTGAAGTCAGGAGGACTTGAGTCCAAACACTTGACACTTACTAGCTGTGTGACCCTGGGCAAGTCACTTTACCCCAATTGCCTGAAAAACAAAACAAAACAAAACAACCAATCAGCCGTGTTGTGGCTCCTCTCTTCTCTCGAGGTGCCTCCTGAGGGCTTGGTGACCCCTGAGGCATGGGCTTCCTCCCCACCTTATTTTATTTCCAACTGATGGCTTTTATCGTAAAGGGGTGACTAATTAATCTGAAACTCGGCACAGGAAGCTGCATGCCAATGGGCACTGGCCTGACCATGGAGGTCCCTGCTAATATCATTTGGGGGAGACAAGGGGCATCTTCCCCTCCCCCTCCCACTGCCCAGGGGCCGGGCCTTCCTTCAGGACCAGGGCCCGGCCACTCTGTGTTCAAGGCTTGCTAGGATCAAGGGGCCTGCCCTCAGTCATCCTGCTGCCCTGGACCCTCCAACTACAAGGCAAAGACCCTGGAGAAGTCAGAAAGCCAGGGTCAATGTGGGGCTTCCCTAGGTCTCGATTATCTGGGGTAAAAAAGGGAAAAATTCACTGAAGCAACATCTTTGCAGCATCTGCTAGAGACTCCACCTTAGCACAGCCTGGAGGCCCAGGCTCGAGGGGTAACTGCCATGACTCCGGGTCATCTTATGCAAGTCATTTTCCTCTTCCAACCTCAGTTTCCCTTTCTATGGAATGACCAAGCCTGAGGTCTGGAGCCAGCTCTGAACAGCACAGCACAGACCCTTCCCGAGAGGCCTGGATCCTACAGTGCTAGCGAGGGCTTGCTCCTGGCAGGCCCCGGCTTGGCAGCGGCTTACCTGGGGAGCTGGCGGTGAGCTTCATGAGTGGCACATCATCCCACCAGAGGGAACCATCCTCACCGACAACCCCCCCCCCCCAAGACAGATTGTATGTACACAACACTAGGTTGTGGGGAGAAGTCGGGGAGACCACAGACTCCCCCTGGGAGGAAGCCACCCCTGGGTGCAGAGCCCTCCCAGTCAGGAAGATGGAGGCATGGCAGGCCCCATTCCTAGTAGCCTCTCCCAAGCCCCTGCCGGGATGACTGTCTCCATCTTACAGATGTGGGCACTGAGGCCCCACGAGGCTAAGGGACTAAATGAGATCATATGCTTAGCACTAGAAGGACCTCCATAGGTCATCTGGTGAACATGGGGCTAGTAGAGATGGAATTACCTGTCCAGCCCCATACAGGAATCAGTGGGAAGACCTTGCCCTGAACCCATGTCCTCTGAGCTCCTAGCCAGGGCTCTCCTGAGTCTTCTCTTGGCCAGACACCCCTTGTTCCCTCCTAGGGCACGCCTGAGAGCTAAAACATGCCACAGGATGTCATCTGGTCAGTAGAGCAGACATGTGAAGACAAGGTGCTTCCTTGAGGGTCTAAGGGGACTGTCATCACACTCTGAGTCAGAAGGAAGGTTCCCATAATAAGTGACTGACCCACTGGGGCCCAAAGGAGGTATCCAGCCATCCCTGATACCCTGTGCTTTGGTGACCCCCCCCCCCCAGACACCCAATGTCTCCCCAGGGGAGGACATACAGCCAGCCCCTAAATGGTCCAGAGCTGCCTGGCCACTGGCCCTGCTTAGAAAGCCTGGCCTCAAGGCCCCAGGGAAGCTTTTGTGACCATAGACATGGGGAGACTGTATAGTCTGGCCAAGATGCTGATAGAGGCTCAGGATGGGAGTCTTGAATGAAAGGGAAGGGCTCTGTTAGGCTAGCCCACCCTTGGCCAGCATTTCCGGGTACTCTCCACTCGTACTGCTTGTTACCAACCAACCCAATCCTCCGTCCCCCACCAGGGACCAGCTTTCCTGGGTCCCAGTCCTTGATCTTCCTGCAGGTTGTGCACCCAGACCCTGGACTACCTAATATAGGACCCGAGCATCGACCACCAGGGCTGGGAGGACCTTGAGAACAGAGAATATCATATCTGGGAGAGGCCCAAAAACAAAGGAGTGAGACAGTCCCCTGGGAGGGACCCTAGAATTCACAGCTAAGGAAACTGAGGGACAGAGGGAAGTGACCAGAAGTCACAGGGTGGATGGCAAAGCCGCCACTAAAGCCTAGGCTTCCAGGCTGCCCCCATTACCTCTTCCACCTGCCCTGGGTCTCCCTCCAGCCCTGGCCTCCACATACTGGAAGTACCCTCCACTGGGCAGCCTTTCTCCTCTGATGCCTGGCCTCCAGCTCTGTCATTGTTCACCAGCCAGAGAACGTTGGCACTGATGGGATGGAGGATGTGCGTCATGGGCAGTGCCGGAGGCTTGAGGCTCGCATGTCCTGGTGCTGCCACTGAAAGCAAGTCATGCGACCACTCTGGGCCTCAGTTTCCTCATCTGTAAAACGATGGAGTTGGCCTACAGACCTCAATCTAGGATCTTGTGATTCTGTGTCATTTCCTGGGAAATATTTGGGTTCCTGGGACCTCCAGATGCCTCCGCTGGTAGCTGACATTCTGATGAGCCAAACCAAGCCCAAAGGCTTCACGGGGCCAGCCTCCACTAGCACACTACTTGTGACTCAGTTTACATTACGTTTCAAGGCTCTCAGTATTCCTCCAAGAGCTGGTTTGGGCCTCAGACAAAGCCTGAGAAGTGGGCGCTGCTGGAATCGGCAAGGACACTGAGGACCCATGGCGAGAGTCAGAGACAGCATCTGAGCCCAGGGCCCTCCTTGCTCTGTCCCCTGCCCCAGGAGATGGGCAAAGTGTCTGGGCCCAATGGAGGGGGCCAAGGAGAAGGCTCTGACCTCCTGCAAACGACAGAGGCTTGCTGTCCCTAGGCTTCAGACCCTGCTGGCTGGGCTGTCCAGCCAGGCTAACAAGGAGCCAGGGGAATGTTCTGGAAAACCCCCCTTCTATTTGGGCAACGCCTACCCTGGTACCAGTCATGCTCTGGATTGTATCCGATGACAGAAAGGACTCTGCATGCTCTTTTTAAGAAAACTGCCCCCAAACTCCTGGCTTTTTCCTCATTCACTGGGAGCGTCCTCAGTTCAGAGGTTCAAGACCAGGACTTTAACAGCAGGTCCTTGGTTTTGGGGTGAGGTTCAGAGAAGGGCTGGGCACTGCTTTTTGTCACACAGTCCACAGTTGGGCAGAGCCGGGATGTAGGAGCCAGATGGAGAGGGCATCCAATGCCTAGAGAGAGGCTCACTCCCTCTGTACAGCTCTCACTTCTGTGGCAGCTAGCTTGTGGGGGGCCCCCTCCCGCTCCCTCTGCCATTCTCCTTGGTGTTGGGGGTCTGTCCCTGGGGATCTGGGGAACGTTTGAGGGCAGGGAAGTTGGGGCAGTAGGAAGACTCTGGATTTGGGATCATAGCCCCTGGTCATTTTACAGGAGGCCAGGGGGAGGACAGAGCAGGGGGCTTGAAACAAAGGCCTGGGCCTCCCAAGTCAGTGCTCTCTATGTCTGGTCCCTGGCCATGTGACCATGGCCAAGCCTCCTCCTCTCTCTGGTCTTTGGCTTGGACCATAAGATCTGCTCCAGATCCTGGGGTCCACTCTGAACCCAACCTTCACCTGCCTATAGGTTATCTACTCCTTTAGCCTTCAGTGAAGACCAGAACAGGCTCTTCAAAGGCTTGTGGGTTCAAGGGCCCCCTGCCCACAGCCCACTCCTCCCCACCTTGATGCAATGATTGACAGTCAGGAATCAGACTCCTTCAGAAGTCCTCTGAGGTGTCCTGGCTGGTCATGACCTCTCCCCTAGGCCTCACCACATTTACCTTTTACCTCTGTAATTAACTAAAAAACAAAATTAAAGAGTGTTTTTAAACATTGTTATCCTTTCCCAAGAGTCGCCTGCCAATAAAAGCCTTCATTACAACAAAGAAGCCCCATAGACTCGGCTGATGAGACGGATTATGCTGTAGCTCACACCCACCAGCGACCCTTTCTCCCAAGAAGATGGGAAGGAAGTAGGATCTTGGCTCTAAAGCTGGACATTTTAATCTGACATTTTACAGATGAGGAAACTGAGGCCAGGTAAGTCCTGTAGCCCGCCTGAGGGCACCGTCTTCCAGCATCTAACCTGACACAATTAGGGCTGAGCTCGGTCTGCAGCTGGGAGTGCCTCTCTGTGGAGGGAGCTCCGGTGGGTGAGGGGTGGGAACTTCGGCTCTCAACTTTGTATCTCCCTCGGTATTCTGTGCTCCTCAAAGGCACCAGCAAGTCTAAGGTGGCGGAGGGCTTCTGCAGTGTTTACAATGATCCTCTGGTTTGAGCCTGGGGGTGGGGCTGTTATCCCCCTCCCTCCCCTTTTTTTTTTACAGATTAGGAAATTGAGACGTTGAAAAATTACGTGGCTTGCTTAGAGTCACGTAAGGACTTTTTTAAAATTAAATTTTATTTTTTTCAGTCAATGAAAATCCTCTTTTTCTCCCTCCCACCTCCTCTCTCCACCCCTGCTCCCTCCCCCAACCGCTCAGTAAAGAAAAACAAAACTTCTGTTACAAACATGTGGAGTCCAGCAAAACAAATTCCGGCCCGGGGATTCTTGCAGAAGGAAGGGCGTCCCAGTGTGCGCCCTGAGCCCAGCTCCTCTCTGTGGGGAGGGAGGGGGTGCCACACGAAGCGTTCCAGCAAGGGGAGGCATTCTGGGCAGAGGGGATAATGGGTGGTGTAGAGGTGGCAGGAGGCAGGAAGCCCAGCTCAGAAGGCTTGGAAGGTCAGCCCGAGGCAGCTCAGGAAGGGCTTTAAATGCCAAGCAGTGAAGTTTGGGCTGGATCTTGGAAGTCATAGGGAGCCATTAAAGTTTCTTGAGCAGTGGAGCACAGTGGTGAGAGGTGCTGTGCTTTTTAGCAAGATTATTTTGGTAATTTTGTGAAGGTGGGCTTAGAGACAGGAGAGGCAGGTGGCTGAGAGACCAAAAAGGACACAGTTGCAATAGTCTGGGTGAGAAATAATGAAGGTCAGAGCTACAGGGCAAAACAAAACAAGTTACTCAGAATCCAGTGACATTTGGGGCATCAGGTGGTGTTTTCAATAAACAATTCGTTTATTAAGCACCTACTGTGTGCTGGGCCCTTTGCTGACTGCTGGGGATACGAAGAGAATAAAGCTTATGTTGGTAGGGTAGGGGGTGTGTATGGCAGAATTGGAAAAAACCCTGTGTGCCTAGGATTGGTGTCCTCAGACAAATCGTTGTACCTCAGTTTTCTCATCTGTAAAGTGAGGGCATTGGCCTCCAATTGCCACTTCAACCCAGGGCTTTGGAAATGGGACTCTGGGCTCAGATTCTCAGAGATGTAGCTGTCACTTCATTGATAAATGGGAGGAAAGGGAAGTGGCCCACAGCCCACCATTTTTTCCCCTTTTTTAGCCTTGGTAAGATAGCTTTTTATCATCATCATCATTATATTATTATTATATTATTATTATTATTATTATTATTATTATTTAAACTTAGCTACCATCAATGAACACAAACATCCAAAGAATAATAATGAAGATGATAAAAAGTGTATCCATGAAACCATAAACTTCTTTTTACAGTTTATTTGGAGATCTCTTTAGACCATATATCAACTTGGACAAGATAGTCATGGGTTTGCCCTGGTGTCTGCCTAATTCTCCTTTCAAACTCTCTTCCTTCTCTAGCATTTCTCTGGCATAGATGCTGTGGGGTAAGTCAGGGGCGTCCCCTTGCCTCAGCTAGGCTTATTTCCTACACGTCCCCATATTTCTCTGAATTCTTTTATATTTATTTCTCATGAGGCAATCATTTCTCTAATCTTCACAGCCATAATCTGGTCCGTCCATCCATGATCAATTACTGAGTACATAGTCAGTTTGGTTATTTTTTGCTATGACTAATAATATTTCTGGGAGCTTTTTTTTTTTACAGATAAGTAAGTCATTCCTGCCTCTCCCTATGCCCCAGATCCTTAGTCAACTCTTACCTATGGCATTAACTAGTTCACCTCCATGCCACCTTCTAGCTTTGAGTGCTGTGGCCCCCTGTCCTATCTCTGCTCATTGCTTTCCAAAACGCAGTTGCGGATTACCTTCCTCATCAGCTTTCTCTGCCTCTGTGTGCACTGCAGATTGTCAGTGGATAAAACCAGAAAGGAGCAGTAGAAAGAGAACTGGCTTGGGAGTCAGAATCAGGTTCAGGCCTGACTTGGTGACTTACTCTGTCATGGCCCTAGAAAAGCCACTCATCTTTCCAGATTTCCCATTTCCTCATCTGTAAAATGAAAAAGTTAGGCAAGACAGCTGCTAAGGCCTCCAGCAGCTCTAAATCTTAGATTCCAAATCACGTGACTGCTTCCCTACTAACCACAAATATGCCTAGATCTCTTCTAGACTTAAAAACAAAACAAACAAACAAAAAACCCCTTAACTGGACCCTGCTAACCACTCAAGCTACCATTCTCTGCCTCTTCTCCGGAAACTTCTGTGGCCAAACTACCAGAGAGCCATCTACACTCATTGTCGTCACCTCACACTCATTTTTCAACCCTTGGCCATGTGGCTTCTACGTTGATCATCTCTCACCTGAAACTGCCCTCCCCCAAGTCACCAAGGACCTCTCAATGGACAAACCTATAGCCTTTCCTCAGTCTTCATCCTTCTTGGCCTCTCTGCAGCGGCATTTGCCACTGTGGCCCACCGTCTCCTCCTAGACATTGTCTCCTTCTGGGCTTTCATGACTGGGATCTGCCTGGGCCCTCTCTGGTTGCCTTTTCTCAGTCTCCTTCGCTGGCTCCTCATCCTTGAACTGCCCCCATGGTAGACAGTACCTCTGACTGGGTCCCCTTCCCTTCTGGATCAGTGCTCCAACTTGTCCCAGATCACAGACCGCAAATATCTCGGGTCTGATGATCGCCTCTCTGCACCAATCCCCAGTCTTTCTCCTGAGCGCCAGACCCAAGTTGCTAAACACCTAATTGACACTTTGAACCGGATGTCCCAAAGCGTTTAACTCCTCTCCATGAACCCTCTGCCCCTCCTCCTCCTCAATTCCCTGTTACTGTTGAGGGCACTGCCATCCTGCAGTCACCAGGTTAACACCCATATGTCCTCCTTGACTTTTCCTTCTCTCTCACATTACATCCGTTCAGCTGATGAATCTGCTTCCTTCTACCTCCACAATGAATCACCCTCTTCTCTGCATACCCAGGGCCATGAGCCTAGCTCAGTGCTCATTAGTTCTCATCTGGACTGTGAAATGAGGGAGTTGAATTCTCAGTGCTGCAACAGCCTCTTTAATTCAGCTACTCGGCCATCCAACCCAGACCCTCCCCTGCTTCACTTTGTCTTCAGTGAGATTGACAACATGATTTTCCTAATTTTCCTAAAGTACAAATCTGACCATGTCACCCACACCCCCTGGAATCTATGTCCTGGGCCTGTTGGGGTACCTGAAAGACCCTGGAAAATAGAAGAGGTGTGCCACAAGACTGGGGAAGAACACAGATTCCCACTGTCAAAAAAGGAAAGAAAACAAAGTCTGAACTCTATCGGCCAGGCAGCTTGACTTTGATTCCTGGGGAAATTCTAGCCCATATCATTAAACAGATGCTTAGTAAGCATCTCAAAAGGGGAGCAGTGATTCCAAAAAGTCAGCCTGACTTTCTCAAGAACCTAGCCAGACTAATGGATTATGCTTCCCTTTTGACAAGATTACTAAACTAGTTGATAAGGAGAATCCCACGGATAGTTAATCTACATTTTAGCAAAGTTTTGATCAAGTTATCTCAAAGTGTCACAGTGAAGATAGAGAGATATGGACCAGATGATAATACTGTATGTAACCTGGGCCCCAAGCCTATGTGCTTAGGCCTTTCCTCATGGTTAGAGACTGATTACTCAGTGTTCTTTGCCTGCCTAAGAGTGTGGGAGCTTGGAAGAGGAAAGAGCCTTGGTCTTCTGGCTTCCAGCTTCAAGACAGGAGATACAAGGACCCAAGTTCCCATCAGGTTCAAGTTCCTGCAGGCAGAGAAGGACTGAGAAGCTGATACATAGAGGAGAACCAAGACAGAGCTGTGTCAGGAAAGCACAGAGAAGAGACCCTGGCTAGGAGGGGAGAGTGACCAGCTGTGACCCTCTGTCATGTCTCTATTCCTAGCTTGCTGAATGGAGGCTGTGGGGAATTTGAGTTGAGGTATCTCGCTCCTGGTGGAAGACTCATTCACTGTGTGTACTGTCTGGTATATTTTCATCTGTACACCTTCTCTGATTTCTGTTTGCTGTTGACTTGGATAAATGAGTTTATTGGCTATTCCGTTATGTGTGGCCTTAATGTAAATGGCATTTGGTGGGAAAGGAGTCGAGCCTTGGATGTCTGGCTTAGGGAACTCCTTCCCTGCCAAGGGCTAGCATCCAGGGGCACAGCTTAAACCTGAAAGGTTTTCCCCCTAGTCTAACAATATGTAAGGAGTGGATAGTTAGGATACCTGCCTGGTACCCCCTCTTTGCAGAAGGCAGAGTGGCTAGCTTCATGTTCCCAAACTCCTGCTCCGCTCCTGTCAAGAATCAAATTTTCCTTGGAGGGGGATGGACAGAGGAAGCTTTAGAGATCTATCTATTCATGACTCCCTTTGAGCTACATTCAAGACAGAGCCACGTGGACCTACCTGGGCAACACCCACCCCCCAACACAACACATATACAACATAAATGCACAACACACGAAACAACAACATATACACAAACACACAACAAAATGCACTCCCTAAAATAAAATTAAGTACATTCAGAACTGGTTGGATGACTGGACTCAGAGTAGCTATTAATGGTTCAGTGTCAATCACTGTGGCCAGAGGTCTCCCGTAGAGCACCCCATGGGGCTGAGTTTGTGGTATTTTGATGATTGATTTGGATAAAGGCATAGGTGGCAACAGGGTCATCAAATCTGCAGACTGCATAGAATTGGGAGGGAGAGCTAATACTATATGATAGATTCATCATACAAAAGGCTCTTGACAGGCTAGCACATTGGGCTGAATCTAAAAAGATGAAAAATAATAGGGATTCATGCA